GCAAAGAAGAGGCAGGCCAAGAGAATAACCATGGGACTTTCGCAAACATGCAGATTGCGGCTCTCGCGCTCTTCACCGGGAACACCTCTCTCTCGAAAAAGACATCCCAAGGAGCAAAGTCTCTCATCGACATCCAGATTCGGCCTAACGGCTCCCAACCGATGGAACTCGCGAGGACACGCAGCTGGCACTACTCCAATTTCAACCTTGGGGCACACCTGCGCTTCGCGCTTGTCGCCAAGAAGGTCGGCGTAGACCTGTTCGGTTATAAGGGGCCCGATGGACAGAGTCTGTTTGGAGCGACGAATTTCCTGTTGAAGGCGGCTGTAGAAGGGAAGAGCGCATGGGAATTCGAGGAATTAGAGTTTAAGCCTTACGCGGCAACTGATAATGTACACGCAGCAGCTGATGGAGGAGACAGTAAAGCCAAGGCGGTTGTGCCTCAACTCCCGCCGCCGCCAACTGGCGATATTTACGTGCTCAGACCGGCTGCCGAGCAGTTGGATAATATTGCTGGCTAGATCACCATGAAAATTTGAACAGGCATCTAGTGATTTTGGTTGGACTCGAGAAGCTCCTGGAACGAATTCGTGGGGCCTTTATGTCACTTGAGGGATATTAACTAGCGAGCTCGTAGCTGTCGGGTCCATAATATATCCGTGTTAGTAATTGAACTGATTAAAAGGCACACCCCGCAAGATCTGGCATTTTAAGCATTGGTAGTGAAAAAGGGGCACACCAATCTAACCAGATACACTCTCTCCCTTCCGGGCCAAGCTTTCTCTTGCCCCTGCTTTAGTGGTCTGATCTGGTAGGTTCGGCATCCGAGCCGAAGACTCGGACTCCGCGGACTGCGGTTGAAGATGAGGTCCAAGTTCAATAAACCAGTTTAGTTATTTAAACAACCCACAGATATTGTTGATATTGTTTTGACAGAAGTCGTACGATCAATTGGAGTACTTGCAATAGGCCCCAGTCTTTTTCCAACATTGCACTAGCTTGAGATGCTGCATAACCGGTTGAATATGACAAACATGATTCCGCATAATTATTATCCGCCAACTATTCGTCTGCCGCATTATGCAGCCAACGAGACTTCGGTCTTGTCGTTGATTGCTCAATTTGGCTTCCTCTGGGTCGCTGTACTCGGCATAGCCTTTATTGTCATTCAGCGAGTGCGACCTGCTGTCAGTCGAACAGATCAACTCTCTTTTATATGGATGTGCTTAAGTATGCTACCCTAATTGAATAGATATTGAAGCGGTGCTGACGAATATGGGAACAAAAAGCGGGATTCATTCATCTATTCTTTGAAGCATACTTTGTTATCCATCATGAGTCCCTGGCCGGCGCCCAGGACTTGTTCGGCCAGTTATGGAAGGAATACTCCCTCTCTGACTCGCGTTATTTGACCTCAGACGCATTCCTCGTCTCGATGGAGGCAGTCACGGCGGTATGTCTGAGATCACCAAAGTCAGCCAGCTCACACTAAGTTGCCCATAGTTCTGCTGGGGACCCCTCGCGTTCTTCATCGCATATTGCATCGCAGTCCATCATCCCCTCCGTCATGCCCTCCAGCTCATTATGTCAGCCGGACAGGTCTACGGGGATGTTCTTTACTACGCCACGAGCTTGTTTGATCTCTATTTCCATGGAGTAACGTTCTGTCGGCCGGAGGGCTATTACTTTTGGTTCTATTACTTTTTCATGAACTTCATTTGGATTGCAATAGGCTCCTGTTCGTCAACCCTGGACTGTGTCCCCGCAGTATCTTGTCGGTTACTGATGCTTCACAGATCATGTGTACAAAAGTGTTGTGGAGATCACTCGTGCTTTCCGAAGGCTTGGAGAGCTTGATCAGAGGCAGAAAGTGAAATAATGCATCCGGATGAGCAAGAACTTTTGATTGTTAGTCACTTGCCATATCGATATGAATGGCTATTTGACGAAAGGTGCACAACTCTAGCTCTCGCTGAGTTATTTTGGACTAATTAGATCTGTCATAGGGTGGTATAAAGTAGCCTGCACGCCGCTTATACATATATACACATATGCATGACGCAGCCAACATTTTGAGTTTAAGGACTGATTGCAGCCTATATCTAAGCACTCTGGTTTATCCTAACAAAAAAATCGTCCTCATTGATGACTTTATTTGCGCGCAAAATCTGCGAAATCAGTGGTTCTCAGTTTGCCATCGACAGTAGATGGACCTATGCGAGGCATGCGTGTCAAGCAAACCTCGCCATTGAATTCGAGTGTGAGGAGCTGAAATAAAGAATGTCTCGCGTTGAGTGCAAGTTGACTCGAGTATTCTCTCGTTGAAAATCCGGAACAGTAATACAAATATGGGACCATAGAACGGACAAGTAGAGGAGCTAGAGATTACAATTTCCACACGTACTGGAACTAAAGTCGCTTCCAAGAGCTTCCTGGCTCAGTTGATCTTTTCGACAGTAGTGTAGCAGGTGATTTATGCATCGAGATCTTGAAGCTGTGCCTTGGCCATGGATCGGGGAGACGAGATGCAGAATAGTTAAGGTGTTTGGTTGTAGTCATCATTGAATGCCCTAAATAAGGGTACGAGTAGATATATGTTTCAGCTAGTGAGTGCTAAAGATGTCTAAGGCCGCTCCCACATCAACCGGTTCTATTGAATATTTGCTCATTCTTTCCAGTCACGCCCGTAAATAGCTGTTGTATGTCTATGGCGATGATATTTTCCTTTTCCCTTTACACAGTTCTGTCTGGACCAAAATGAGCTCAGAATATTCTGGACGAAGTACAAGTCTTGGTATAGAGATCAGACAGGTAGCTGTTCATTCAACAAACAGGTCTCCGTGGCGCAATTGGTTAGCGCGTCTGACTGTTAATCAGGAGGTTGGAAGTTCGAGCCTTCCCGGGGACGAATTTTTTGGTTTTTTTTTTGGCCTCTCCACCGGCCCTCATCCGGCCCCTTTACTTTTATTTCCTCCCTTACCTCTTCCTCTAAAATATTTGAAGAGAAGTTGGAGTCTAGCTTCTATAGTCTGCCAAGACTGTACGTACGATCCTCCGAATTATTGATTAGCCGAGTTTGAGGCTTGGTTAATTTTATGCTCCGGAGAGATAGTGTTCCTTGACCCATTGCACTTCATCGCTGTGCTAACTTACACGATCGGTCGGTCGGGAAAGGAGGGGATGATCTGAAGGGGGGGCGGGGTGGGCGGTCATTGATCAGGATGTTACTCTATATGGGCGTCATGCATGTGATGTCAATGCTACACGCATATATAATACCCGACACGGTCCCTTAGAGAGCCATGTCAAACCATGCACGGAGATATCCGATGTAACAAGATGGCCACTCAGACGACTCAGCTGAACATCCCTCTGACTGCCTCGACCGAATCTCTGGAGCAATATGTTCATCCAGCGGAGACAAAGCAGGACAGTGAGTGCTGTCTCATACGAAGATACTTGATTATGCATCTGAATGTATTACAGTCAAGTATGCAGATCTGGTTACAATTGATCTGTCGGAGTTCGATCAGCCACGGGGAAAGGAGAAGCTCGCTGCACAGCTAAAGGACGCGGTCCATGAAGTTGGTAATCTTTCCTTTCCTCAGTGTCTCTTACCCGACTACTGACTTTTCCCCAGGCTTCTTTTACGTGACCAATTTTGGGCTCACCCAAGAACAAGTGGACCGCCAATTCGCCATTGCCAAAGAGTTTTTCTCTCTCCTGGAGGAAGAAAGGCGTAGTTTCCGGGCCCCGCTGGAAGAAGGCATCTATAACGGCTACCGGCCTCTGGGTGCAATTGAAATTCTCCCAGGTCTACGCGATAATATCGAGTTCTACAACATCATGAAGTTCCTCCCGCAGTATGAGCGAACCCACCCCGATGTAGTCCGGCAACACTGGGCGGAGATCGAGAGGTTCCATCGCCATGTGCACGAACACATCGCGTACAGACTATTCCGCCTGCTAGCAATTATCCTGGAGATTCCCGAAGACGAGCTCGAAAAGGGCCACATGTATGATTCAAACTGCGACAGCGGCCTGCGATACATGTGCTACCGTGCGCGCTCCGCGGAGGAAAACGAGAAGTACAAGAGCCTCTATTCACGAGGACACACGGACAACGGCACCATCACCTTTGTCTTCCAGCAGCCTGTGGCGGGGCTACAGGTCAAGAAGTACGATGGCTCGGAGTGGGAGTACCTGCGCATTCCTCCGGGTACGATAGCGGTCAACATTGCTGATTTACTATCCATTCTCTCGAATGGATATCTGAAGAGCGGGGTGCACCGCGTCATTACCCCTCCTGAGGATCAGCAACACTTGGATCGGCTGGGCGTGCTGTACTTTGTCCGTCCAAGTGATCGGCTGACTCTAAGGACGGTGGACAGCCCACTTCTGCGCAGGCTGGGTTATTACAAGGAGGGAATCAACGAGATCAACATCCCTGCGCCTGAGTGGACGAGGGCACGGATCAAGAAGAATTGGACCAGATCCCCGACAGACCCGAATGAGGGGACCTCCATGGCTGGGTTTAGTGTGAAGCATTTCCATGATTGACCTGGCTGGTTTTCAGGTGCTCACTAGAACGAGGGCCAAAGCAATGACTTGATTGGAGACGGAAGTTGCGTAGATTAGCCAACTCCAAGCTATTTCTGTTACCATCTGAATTGGCATTCCATCTCATGCGAGTCCTATGGACTAATGCCCAGAGGCTGGCTGAGTTGGCAGCTCGACTAAGTCGAGGATAAAGTACGGAGTACTGCTGAACGCACATAATACGCCGGGCTCAAGGCGTGTGGAACCCTATAATTAACAGTCATTCGCCCTCTTATCCAGTGTGGACAGAAAGTATACAGTTGAACGAGAACCAGTGGGACGTGGGTCAAGTAGGATCAGACTTTATTCAAGAGGGGTAATGCATTAGTTAGCTGCATGTCCTGCCACACTATCATCACTCACCAATACCATTGCATGTTGAATAGCTGGAGTGCATCACTCTACAATCTACAATGCGCTCCCTTCGCCAATGCAATTCCCCGCAGCATCTCATTGGTAAGAATCATCAACCCCTCATCAGCCCCTATCCCCGGCTTCGACAGCAAGAAATCTGGCTGAGTCGCCAACGCCACATGCGCTGTGATGCGAGCGGACACATCCGTCTCATTCGCAGATCCTCCCAAACAGCACCCGATCCCCTTGTCGTGGCAGTACAGCACCGCATCAATGCTCTGATCCACCCCGCCCAGATCGGGCATTTTGATCTGCACGTAGTCGACCGCATCTGCGTCCGCAAAATCCCGTATGTCCTGCAGCGTGTTGCACCATTCGTCTGCGACGATCTTGACATCAATGCTGTTCCGCTTCAGACAAGCACGGAGGTCCGCTAATCGCTGAATCTGCGCCAGTTTGGATGACGCAATGATGGGAGATTCGATGAGGAGGGCGTAGGGTCGTGCGCGCTGACGTAGCTGGCCTAGAAATTCAGCCAGCCCCGTCGTCTCCGGGAAGACGTCTCCTACTGTACCGTAGACATCGAAATGGAGACGAGGATGATAGCCCGGTGGAGCGCGTTCCTGGATCCGACGAGCGATGGTACCCACGTAGTCCATCAACACCGTGCCCTGGGGACCTATATCGGAGACATGCACAAACGAGGCGTGAGGGAGCACCGGGGCCTTTTTCATAATCATTCGGTCCAGCTGGAGCGTGTCATTGCGGTGGCAGGAGGCGAGAATATCAACGGGGCGATCTGCAATTGAGCCGAGACTCCACTCGCGACATATCACCTCGGCGATGGTACGGCGCTGAACCAGTGCGGTGGCTGCAAGGAGCGCTTGCGTGAGACCATACCGAACTGCGGAGTGAAGCCTGCGACCCTGTAATTCCTTCCAGGGAAGGTCAACCCGTTTGGCGTTCTGCCGGAAGTTCGAGATGTCGCAGCTGAGCAGCCACGGCTTCACCACGGACTCGAGGATAGGGAGGTGGTCTTCTGCAATGAAGAGGGAGTCACGGGATGCAGCGCCAGAAAAAATGACATCGACGCAGTCTCCAACTGCGACCTCGCCGCATGGGAGATGTAGCAGAATTGAAATAACTTGCCCGGCTTGTACGACGCTGCGGAAACCAGGTGTGCACGGCGGGATGTTGCCACGCAAAGGGTCATATGTTGGACTCCGGCGAACTGCCTCGAGATCCTTGACAAAATAGCCGGATAGCCCAATGACGAATTGAACGTCTGTAGGCTTCATTCCGCTTAATCAAGTAGATGATGTGAAATAGATACGGGCTACGGCAGGAGTGTACTTACATGACACTTATATAGTGCTTCGCGCTAATTCAGATAGATTGTTGAACAGAGTTCACGTCTTCACTGTGCTTAATCCCCACAGAACCAATGGTTCTCACTGCAGTGGATTAGAGTCTAAGATCTAATCTAGCTTTGGAGAATACTTCCGTCCATACGATGTCAACTTCATGCCCTAATCATGCAGTGTGCTTATATAACTGACTACTTCGGCTACCTTGTCGGATTTCTTTTGTTGTTGAATAAATCCCAGAGTAGCTGCTTATTTTCAGCCCCTGGATTGAATTAAATCGCTATAATGCCGCTTCAATTCGACCTGGGACATATCTTGACTGGAGGGGGTGATCTTCCCTGCATCACGACCTATCAGGGCGCTTCAACTCGTGGAAAACCCCGAGGTTAGGTATTCCTTCAGAGAGTACTTCGAATGACAGCTCGCAACGCGGCTGCTCGACTGACGACTGCGTGATCTGAAGTCTCTGTTAGTTGACTATTCCTGGTATCCCGTAAAAGATCTGTATCCAGCGCTAGATCGAGCGCGGCTGGACGTTCTCGCCCGTGCTAGCATAAACTTCATTGAGAGACCTACCGTTTCTGAAAGGCATTAAAGATGTCTAGCTGACCATGATCGTGTTTCAACTTATTCAGTGAGGGTCTTCCTTTGCGTCTGTAATTAGGACTACCTTATAGGATATATACACTATGAAAAAGGTATAAGTACATGAGAACCGCTTGCCCTGCCTAAAGGCACCAAGAGTCAAGCCTCAACCAACCGCAGCTTCATCTCCCTCTTCCAGCCCTTCATTCCCAGTGTGATAAACACCACCCCGTTCCAAAACCCCCGCAGCGATCCCATTGCTCCGACGGCCAGCAGCAATGGATAGGAAACATGGCTCGGGTTTACGAGGGCGGATAACCGATTGATCGTGGGGGCAACCCATGTGGCCAGCAGGACAAGGAAGAAGACCATTGGCATGAGGATGTATTGTCTGAAAGATACGTTGGAATGCTTGGACCGTTTCTGCTCTGGGGTGACGTTGCGGAAGGAGACATCGTTGCGCGATGATTGGGGCTTTTGCTCGCTCGGGGAGGGATAAACATGGGCGGCGGGCTGGGATTGGATATTAATTTGGACGGTGACAGCGACTGTGTTTTTGGGCTGGTCAAAGGCCTGATTGTTGCTGGAAATGTTGGAAGAAAGAGCGATGTGGTCTGTATGGGAGAGATTGAACTGGTGCCGCAGTTTGATTACTTTGATGCCGACGAGGATGTAGAAAAGTAGCACGCTCAGGATGAGGAACCTGGAAGAAGAGCCAAGTTAGCAAGCTCAAGTAGGAACTATAGGTCCATCAGAAGAGAAGGATATATACCATATCGGTCCGTAGTAGAACACGATCCGGAAGACGACCCAATTGGGAGATATCGAACACCAGAGCTTGAATGGTTTTAATATGAGCGGAATGAAAGGAGAGACAAATGTGGACTTACAGTTACGCTACCATACATGGGTCCTTTCTCCGGTGTATGGATGAATAAAAAGACGATCGCTGGAATAAATACCAAGGACGTGATGATAGCAATATACCATGTCTCAAGCTTGCGCAAGTCCCGCACGTCGAATTGATAGTAGACTACCAGGAAAACATCGCAGGCCATCGCCAGCGTCCAGAGGACATCTGCCATAGGAAACCTGTTTAAAAGTTAGAGCAGTTCTCTGTCCATCAGATATCCGTCGAATGGTAGAATAGCTTATCGGGACATACATCTGGAGACAAAAGCCTTGAAACTGACACAAGGGCGAGCTGTTGCCTGCCGCGGGCCCACTTGTCGCGATCATCGTCGCAATGAAGTCAAACAAGTTATAAAACGCATTGATAAAGATCAGGCGGTGCATTGGATTGCGAAAATGCCGCGAAAAGGCAAATGTGCCGATGATCGTGATGACTCCCAAGATGGAGAGAATCGAAGCAACACGCTCGACTGTAGTCAATGTGCGAAGTTGTGCTTCAGTGAGGGCCATGGCGAATCTGACGAGGTCATATGGAACTTAATCTCTTGGAGGATGCGGTTGTACAAGTCATTGCTCACATATTTGCCCAGCACGTTGCATATGGCACGCGAGTTTAAGGATGAAGCATTTTAATATCAGTTCCACATGTTGAGATAATCCAGCGCATGCCACTAGACCCTCGTCCTGTTTCTGATAGCGCAATAATGCTCACGAGGAGGGAAAGTGCAGAATATACCATTCTCTGTATCTACTGGACAAGATGAAATGGTAAATCGCACCACGCTATGGCGTCATTTGTACCCAGTTTGATGTATATACGACTTGTCCCGCCCTACGAATATTTTTGCTTTTTTGGTCGTCCTCGCTGGTTTTTTGTTCCAAAGCGAGCATACAAATAATCATTGATTGGAGACTCATTTGCACTCTACATAGCTCGGCTTGCCTAAGATACGAGAACTCGTGCGTGATCTTAGTATCATCCGCCATGGAATCGTACCGAAAGCTTATCGAGACTCCATCGCCGCAGCGCGAGGAGTCTCTTGAAATACCGCACGCTTTGACGAATACAGAGCTTAGAAGCGATATTTGGACAGAGACGCGAGAAGCGAAACTTGCGCAGGAACCCATCATCATGATTTGAGATCCGTTATCTGTACACTGGTCCTTGGCGGGATTCTTCACCATGGTTGGATAGCACGGCTTAGCCTAACATGAACCCTGTCCTAACGTCATTCATGGCGCTGCTTCTGTCATACTTCTGACCCAATCTGATTCAAAAATCGATCTTGGCAACCCCTGAGATGATCCATCACCTTGATCAACAAGCATTCAATGGCCTCTGTGTCCGGCTGCAGCGGAACCCCAAAATTGTCGGAATCCATAGCAACCCCAACTGTTATAGCGTCTAAACCTTATACACTCACAGTCCATGTGGGTCATATTGACCATCCAGAGCCAAATAAACGCGACTGAAGAAACACAGACTGACACCCTATCCTTTAGCCTTAATTCAGGGTTACTGCTTAGTTTTGATTCTATCTACATGACCAGAATGGTGCATCCGCACAAGTCGGCCAAGATGGATTCAGGATCTTGTTCCTCGCGTTCGTGACGATTCCTGCCTGAGAACAACCTTTTTATCTATCATTAGCTCTCTAATGTACGTATATAGGTGTATCAAGTGGTATGCATCTTTAAAGCGACTCATGACACCCAGCAGACGTGGCGCTACTGTATCAGGTTTTTTTTTTTTTTTTTTTTTTTTTTTTTTTTTTTTTTTTTTTTTT